AACTCGTTACTCGCAAGGAGGGGAAAGTTAAAACTTCCCTTATCTTAAGGTTTCTTTATATTATTCTGTTATAAACTGTAAAGTAAGTCCTGATAATTCAGAGACCGATCTTCGACATGCTTACCTCTGTGCAATTATGGTCAGGGCCCCAAACGTGAAGCTTTAGAGAAAACCTGAAAGAATCAGGATTATGTTTCTTTTTCAAAAAAGGTTTATTACAAAATCAAAATACAAAAATTGGGTAAAGTGAAAAACAACTGCTATCCCCCACGGAGGAATTAGTTCAAAATGATTAAATAAGAGTTAGTTTACACCAGCTCTTGTCTTCTCAGAATCTCCCCAAGAACGAAGCCCCCTAGCTCTTCTTCTCTCCAAAAAACTGCCTGTTATCCCCCATCCAGCAGGACGGGGGATGACCCCTCCAAATCTGCTCTGTCTCTTCTTGTCGTCTGCCCCAGCTCTCTCAATCTGATCTGAGCTGCATCCTTTTATATCACTTCTGAGACTGCTCTAAACAATGTAAGAGTCACAAGTCATTCTCTCCTGACAGTTTAGGTCAAGGGGTCATTTACCAGATACACTTTTTTAGCTCTACATAAGACATTTGGTATCATTTTCAATACATGCAGTATTCACATGAGGGCACAAAAGTTACATTCTGCACTCCTGGAATGAGAGCACAGGTCATAAATCTTCATGTTGGTAGCAAATTGTAGATCTTCTTTCAGCATTCCTGAGAGCTCCTGGGTCCAGTTGGTATTTGCTCACTCCATGCCAGTCCTTCTTTTCCCGCCAGAGGTGGAGTTAGGGGCGGGCCCAGGGGTGTGTCCATGGGTGGATCCAGAGAAGACAGCCTGTCTTTTGACCCTTTGCCTAGTTCTGTCCTCACCAGCAAGTCCTGAACTATTGTCCTCTTGACCCTTGTGTGACCCTTGTCTCTGACCACTGTTTCTAAGCCTTGACCGATAGCTCGGACTTGCAACAGCGTCCTGACGAAGACCAGGAGGCGGGAGCACATCACACCAGTTTTAGAATCACTGCAGTGGCTCCCCGCATGTTTCAGGATCGATTTCAAAATACTTTTAACGGTTTTTAAGTGTCTTAATGGTCTTGGGCCATCTTATCCTTCAGAACTGCTTTTACCATATGAACCCTCGCGGTCCCTGCACTCCTCTGGCAGCCGTCTCCTAGTGATCCCTAAAGTCAGGACACATATTCACGGCAAGGCGTCCTTCCAGTACTACGGTCCTCACCTCTGGAACGAGCTGCCAGGGGACCTCAGGGCTGCTGAGAACGTTCATGTTTTTAAACAGGCGCAAGACCCACCTTTTTATCTCAGCTTTTAACTGAATACTCTCACTTTTCAAATTAATTAATTACTTAGTTTATTTATTTTATCTCTTTGTTTAATTTATTTAATGTATTCTTTCTTTATACGTGCTTTTTAAACAGTTTTTTACAATGATTTATGATCAACATTATTGTAATATCTATATAACTTTTTACATTACAATTCTTATTTTAGCTCTTTGGATTTTATATTTTAACCTTAATTTTACCTTTTTCCAGTGCTTCCTCTGTGGGAGCCCTCTGCCCCGGCGGCGGTGGTCGGCTGTGGTGGCCTGGGTGCTTTCCATGTGTGCCTGGGTGGTGGTGGGGGTATCTGCCCTCCCTGACCTGGGCGCCCGGTGTCAGTGCCTCGGCTGCTGCTGTGGATCTGCTGCTGTCGGGGTGGATGGCTCCCCTGATGGCGTTTCCTTATCCTTATCTTAGATGGTCTGGCTCATCTGATCACAGCCAATTGTGTTTTTTTTTTACAATGGAGAAGGTGGCATGTATGTATGTGTGTGTCAGTGGAGGAGTGTTGTGAAGGGGTTTTTATTGTCAGATTGTTTTTAAAATTCTGGAGATGGGAGGGAATGTGGGGCCTTTTTAATTAGTTAAGCACTTTGAGTTGCATGTATTGTCTGATTAAGTGCTATGTAAATAAAGTTGATTGATTGATTTATACTAGGCCACTGCAGATGAACTGAAATAATGAGTGAAGAATATCAAAATCTATAAACATAACATGTTTTTTATTTCTTAAAATTTTCTGGTTATCCCACAAGCAGTAAAAAGATATAGGTTTAACCTTCTGCTGCCTTTTGGAAGATTTTTATTCACATGGGGGTGGATGACTAATGAAACCAGTTCACTTCTGGTGGTCTGAAGCTAGCGATAGATGCTGTGAGTGCTAGCAAGCGTGGGAGAAGCTTCCTATCCACTGAGGGAGAGAAAACACATGCTGCTCTGCACTTTCTTGGAGAGCGTGCTCATTTCAGCACCCCATACAGTTCCCATTGATGAGAGCGGCACTTTCGCCCCCGTGTCCCCCATCGACCCTCATTTAGTGCATTAGAGGCCTGCTTGGAGAAACGCTGCAAAAGAGAAAACATATGAATTTAAGAGGTTTCAGGCTGTGCAAGAGCTGTTTATCCCTCCGTCTGCTTCATTTGTCTTAAATGTGATGGTTTTGCAAGTGACTTGTGTGTTGGATTCGGTGGCCATCATGACTCTGACTCTTAGGGGGTTCTGGTGGCGAAAAGAGACATGCATGTGGTGTTTTGCTGTTTGTTTGAAGTCCACGAGGAGAACAAAATGCTGCTTTCATTTTGTTTTAACATCCTGACTTCAGAGAGCAGCCTTAGTTCCTGCCGCTGGCAGCTAAAGTCACTTAGAAGCTCGACAGTGAGCGATGCCAAAAGACGCTGAAGAGACATGCCAGTTACAGCACAGGCTTGTGCCTGCAACAGCAAATACTCAATATATTGCTTTGTGACTGACAATAGTCTCTGAAAAGCTTTCCTAATTTGTGCCCTGTTCAGTGGTCATTAGCTTTTGCTCCCTGGTGTACCCAGTCAGCCCATTTCAGATTATTTCCTGGAGAATCAAGCTGCAGTTGGATTTTTACGATTCACCCTGAAGAATGCTGTGGAGACAATAGGATGTAAAATTTAAGTAGACCATTAACATACTTCTTCTCAAAGAGAAATTGCCTCCTAAAGTTGTTTAAAGTAGTGCAAATCTGGTGTCTTTGATTCTCACATCACATAATTCACTTCATAATTTGTCTTCAGCAAACATTTCAGAGATCTAACAATAAAAAAAACATTAACTCCCTGCAAATGATACACTTGGTGCATTTTCAACCTCAACGAGGTTATGCAGTCATCACAACCTGTTTTCATTCACCCTCATGCAACAAAGGCTATAATATTATGTATTTGCACTCTACATTAACCCTTTAATATCCTAAAAGCAATCATCTCCTAATTCAAATAAAATAAAAACATCGGAGACCACTGATCCACACACAGCCCTTGCATTAACACTCATACACTGATAACTGTACATGGAGTTGTAATGTCTTGTCCATGGGAACATAAAACAGGTTCTGAGGATTGAACCCTGATCCTCTATCCAGATCCTGATCTGCTTTTTAAACGTTTCCAAGGGTCTCTAGTACGACTGAATGAGTCGTTTTCTGTGAGGGGAAAACGTTCTGGCAATTCTGTTCAGAGTTAACCGGAGTAGTGCGGGGAATAAAACGGCAGGATTTGGTGTCTTACAAATTATTATTCACGATATTCAAGCATCTCGCCTCTGATTGGCTAGCACGGGCTAATGCGGCTCTTCCACTGCCTCCACTTGTTTTGCAACACAAGCCTGAAGGAGTTCTGCATGTTGTGGAGTCGCTAATGCTAATGGTTAGCTTTTACTAGCTAAGACGTGCTCTGCTCTCTCCCAGCTGCAAAGACAAACACATCCTTCTCCCGTTGTGAGCTAAGACAGGTGAGTCCATGGATGCTAATTTACAGTGTAACCTAGATCTGTGTGGCTCTATGTGTTTCCCGTCTATTTTCTTTTGACAGCTAATGCAGGAAATAGGGGTAGAAGACTGATTTAATGTTCAGCCTGCATGTGAAACTCGGAGTGACTGATCCGAATTCCAAAAGAACAAGTATTATGTTTCTCAGTGAACTTGCTCTTTAAGTAATGCTTCTCTGTGAGAAAAAATAAACTCAGTTCAAACCGAAAGAAATGTCCCCAAGGTCTAAGATCTACCACAGAGGTTAAGAGTTCAGACCTCTGTGGGTGATAACACCCCATCTGCACTCACACACTTGTCAGGATTATTTTGAAGGATGACTCATCTGACTCATGTCACATTTTTACACCTCGATAGATCCTCGCCTGAATGATTTTTCCACCACCGGAGGCTCAAACGTGAGTTCATCTTTATAATGAGAGTTTCATAAGCTGCAAATTACCTCTCAGTACAAGTGGGCCGCGCTAGCTGAGGCAGTCTGATCACCTGCCAGTTACCAGATGTGTTTTTCTTTACACCACATGCTGATGCCCCATGATGACAGATGCTACTTCTGTGAGCCAGAAGTATTTATTAATGACTAATTCTCCTTTGATTAGAGCCCCTACTATTAACCTGCTTTCAATTGTACTCGGATTTTGATACCATCTTGATCATGAAGTCAGCTGGGCCAGTTTAGCATCGTTCTGTCTACCACTGAACATATTACCAGCATAATTAGCCTGATAAAGATCATTTACATTAAAATAATTTTCATTATGAGGGGTTATAAGAAATATTTTTCATGTTTCAGTGTGCAAACCTTTTGCTCAAACTGTTTAATTGGCTGAACCTTTATTTTTAACAAGTCTTTTTATGCACAACGTGTCTAATTCAATCACTTATTTTAAAATATTGTGGCAACACCAAATCTACATTTTTTATGCATTTCTTGGCCAAAATGTGATATGCACAGTGGAGATTGCAGTCAAAGTTTGATGCATTAAAGATGCCAACATGAAACCGTCAAAAGATGGAAAATGTTTGTTCTTTCCTTCCTGCAACAACCCCTTTCCTCAGTATACACCTTTTTCTTTTTGTTACTTGCAGAGTTTTTCGACAAAAAGACAAGTGAGTGTGAGACGGTGTAAGGTGTTTGATTACTCATGCCAAAAGCATTTATTGACTAAATGTACAGCACACAAAAGACACCAATAACGTCCGCAGCATCTTTGTGAAGCTCCACACTCATTTAACATTTAGTCATTTCTATCTGAAGCTTTCTTCTGGGTTATTTCTCAACAATCAATTGCATAAAGCTTGACTAACTTTTCGTTCTTACAAGAAATGTATTTACACATAGCGAATACGCAATTTACAGTCATAGACGGAAAAAACACCTTTAAATTGAGCTCATATTAGGTCGTTTGGAGTTGCTAAGGTGATAATGTTTAGTATTTTTCTACTATTTTGGTTTTTGATACGAGTACAGCTGTGCACAAGGATAGTTGTCGTCTTTTCCTTTCCCAACCATCTTGTTCCGTGTGGTAGTGCTGCGTACAAGAAACAAAGAATCAGTTTGGATCAATATGTGGTTGAAGCAATACTCCCTACTCAAATGGAGTGTTTTCATCCTCTGCAGCCTCTTTCTGGATCAGAACACTCTTGTCTCTTTGCTGCAAGCCAGGCATCATCACAGCTGAACAAGTTCATGAGAGGCAAAAGCATCTGTCCATTCTACTCTTTTCTTTTTCACCAACTTGGCTTCTGCTTGCCTCTTTTCCCCCTCAAGCAGTTGGTCCCAGTGCTATACATGTCCAGGTTTGGACAGGTAGGCAATGAGGGCAACGACCACCCCCACATACATCCCTGTTCCGATGGTTATGGACAGTGCAGCCAGGAATAGGGCTCTTCTGGAACTCATTCCTGCTCTGGAGAAGTCTCCCTTAGCAATGGCCTTGCCAGTCTGACAAAACAAAAGCAGAGAGTGAAATGAGCCTGTGTGTTACTCATCAGCAATGAGTGTATGAGTAGGTGTTAAGCCACAGTTAAAAGGAGAAAAAACAAGAAATTCTCTCAGGGAGCCATTAGTTACCATGGCAATTAGGTCATTTTGCCTCTGACAGTGACGAATGTGCTGTTTGGGTGTTTTGGTTACAGACAGAGAGAGAGAGAGAGAGAGAGAGTCTGGCTTGTATTTGAACTCATTGGACACATTATTTTCAGTTTTTGGAATAATTTATTTGCAATTATTATGAAAGATGTTGCAAGAGATGTTGCTGCTGTTTATTTGCGGTTGCAGGGTCTGAAGCTGGAGATATTGACATCAGACTGAGGTTTCAGACACTGATGTAACAGCTCAAAAATAATATATTTGAGGCACATTGCTAAAGCACAGCACACGCCGGGAGTGAAAACCTCAGCATTAATGGTTTTTCTCTTCACAGATGACTGACAAAAAGCCAGAACCCGCCAAATTTACCTAGTCAATCATCCAGAAGAATTGCAAACAGGGTCGCAGGGTGGAAAATGGGCCGTGGTAGTGCTTGTCTGAGTGCTTGTGCTCACTGACCTTAAACAGAATACGGTGCAATCACAATTAATGACAGGCTTGAGGTTTCTGGACCTTTACCTTGTGAGAGTAGTAAAAGGCAACGATGCCCAGTGGCCAGAAGCAGCAGAGCATGGAAAAGATGGCCAGGCCCAAGTAGTCCCGAGGGGGCAGTACAATGAAGTTGTCCTCGCTTTCACTATCGCTGGAGCTGTCACTCTGGAAAACAACAGATGCACACAGAATCTTTAGGTTTCTGAGTAAAACACATTCAATTATGCAAAATATGTGTTTCAGTGCATTTTTTAAAGGTAGCCCTATAAGGTAAAAAAAAAAAGTTAGGAGGAAAAATAAAAAGTTTGGTCAGATTTAAAAAATAGGACAGCCTTCGTATCTTTCTTCCTGCTTGCTTTTCAGGGCTTCTGTAGAAAAAATAACATACTTTGAACTAATACAAAATTTGCAACTTTGATCTTGAAAGTGACACCTGCAATATGTAAGAGTAAGGAGGACCGGCGCATAGTCAGATTTACTTTGAACATCTTCAAAGTCTTGACAGGGTCCATGTTTCTCCAACTTAAACCAATATCTCATGGGCCGTTGCTGGTGAAAAATCGACTTTCATGAGGTTTCCAAAGTGTCCTGAAATCTTTGTGGGGTTAACAATATCCCATTCTGACCTGAAGAGTCTTGCTGACATGTTGTAGGGATTGTAAACATTTCCTCAAAGATTTCTGTGCCAAACCAGAATTGCCTGTTCGCTGTTGCAGACATCTAGCCTAGGAATCTAGACTAGCAAAACAGTTAGCTCTGCAGGGTGTTGTAGCCACGCTCCATTGTAGCCAAGGCAGGTCTACCGTTGGCTTGGAAAATTTTAGGCTGGGCCAATCACAGCGCTCTGTTTGTGGAGAGATATTGGGCTAGTTTAGCAACATTATGGTAGAGTTTATTTTATATTTTTACCATTACAACAGAGCTGCAACGTAGAAAAACAACCGTTGCGGAGTTGGTTTGTAACCACTTTGACATCAACTTTGGACACTTTAGACTTGGGCCTTTCTTTGGCGATCTTTGGCAGACTGCCACGTTGACTGACTTCTATCTCTTTGAATACGTCACATCGTTTATTGCTATGATTGGTCCTAGCTCTGTCCAGTTGCATGCGAAGACTGCTTGAAACCATAGATTCTGCTCCGATGTCAGGCCAGCAGACATCTGAAACACTCCACAGTTTATTTTCTGGACATCAGAAAAAACAAGAAATCTGAGACAACTTTGGGAGGGATTTGTGGCCGCCATAAATGTTGGAATGTGTTCGAAAAAACATTGCAAGCATCACGTGACCTGGTCATATGCAAAAATTGATGTGTTTTTGCATATTTGCTTGTAATTACGTTTCTCCAACTCGTCACCAATGAGATTGCTGTGACCTCCCACATCTACCTTCTTCAGCCAAAACATCTGCCCTTGTTTCTGCTACCACCACATGACAGGATGTGCTCAGCCAGCTGAAGAGGATTTGGTGCTTTTGTCAACATCCATGAGCAGCGTGACAAATAACTCGGGATTAACGGATTGTTCTATCATCGCGAGGTGACAGGAGAAACAGCAAGAAGACAGAGTCATTTATGTGCTAAATTGCTTCTCCAGCCGTTGAGACCTCCACCATCCTCACTTAAAGCATCCTGCATCCAGCAAGGCAAGGTGTGCCTATGCTGTTCCTTGATATTAAATTCAAGGCCATGCGTACTGAGCAGCCTAATGAAAGATAGATTCGAATGCACTCAGACTACGAGGCCTGTCCTGCCTGCAGCAAGAATGGAAATGTGACTGTGTGGTTGACCTTTAAGAGAAGGTGGCCATACTTCTTGTTGCTGTCCTGCAGACTGAGAGGATGTTTGCCTGAATAAATGGCCCCCATAAGAGGCAGGTTTCATTTGTGAGTCTTTGCTGCCTCCAAGGATCGAACAAAACGGAACACAAAACAAAAATCAATGCATGAGGTAGAACCTCATCCAACCATTTCACAGGTAATTAAAGAACAGTCAAAGAGGCAAGGAGAAAAAAAGTGAGGAAGCATTCAAGCATGGAGGAAAACACATTTTTTAGCTTGCTATACACACTTTTTATTGCGCCTTCTGATCTTACCGAACTGCAGGATCTAATTTGAGCCATTTAGCAAGGCATTTCTTTATGTTTGTGGCAAGTAGAGAATAGAAGATGGCATGCAGTTTGCAAACAGCAAGCACCGCCAACAAAAGGTCATGAAACTCCCCGTTATCTGCTTTATGAACACGGTCTACCTGCTGGGTGAGATCCATCCGAACAGCAGGTGGTCATAACCGTATAATCTGACATCAAATAAATAGACTTTGCTGTTGCAAACACAAGTCATCTCCTGTTATCTTTATGGCGAGACCTGATAACAGATCTGAGTGACTGGTGTGTTCAGTTCTTCTGACAGCCCGGCTGAGGACCAACTCTCCCCTAGTCCTGTCTGTCCAGATAACTGATGGAGCTCCACTGAGGCACAGTGCCTTTAACAGCCCTGTCACAGCTCTCTCCAAGGCCTCGTTAGCATCTGGAGGGAATGGTCGACTCCACAATGCACACGCACACACACACACACACACACACACACACACACACGATCTCAGGGCAGCCATAGTGGTGCCATGCCCAGGGTCTTGTTGCTTTGTTACCTGCCCCCCCACCCCCCCACCCCCACCCCACCCACCCCCTTTTACAGTTAGCTTCAAGTTTACAGACTAAGATTAATTCAATGCAGGTCAGGTTAGCATTCAAGCTAGGTTGGTGTGCTAAATTGTCCGTGTGTCACCCGACAGTGCATGCTGGGAACCGGGGAACATTCTTATTCATTAACAGCTTGTGTGTGAGTGTGTGTGTGTGTGTGTGTGTGGGGGGGGGGGGGGGGGGGGGGGGGGTCTTAGGGGAAATGCAAAAGGGTCAGATGTTAACTTTAAGTAACTAAGTTACTTTAAGAATGTTAACTACATATCCCAGTTTTAAGTGTGCTGCTGTTCATCAGCATGATGGTTGAGTTAGGGATTGCACAACACACACATCGAAACACACATGCATAAAGAAAAGCAAAGGAACGCAAGTGCTCATTTTCCAGCAAAGAAAACCGACTTGTCATCAAAGCTCTATTTATCACATTCTCTTGCTCTTTTGAATTGAGGAAGAATAACTTGAGCTTGAGGCTCACCTATTATGGTGGTCATGCATCAGCCCAGTCCTGCTTAACACCAAAGCAGGACATTACTTACAGCATTAATGGAGCTTGTTCCACCATCTCCATCCATCTGCCAGGCCTTCGAGAGACAGGAGCTGGTGCAATCAGCTCTGTTCGGGTGTTATTCTTCAAAGCTCTGGGTATTTTATAAGTGTCCCTAGTTAAAATTAGATTTTCAACACATCAGAAAATACTTTGCTCATTTCTTCTTCAGGGGGAATGGTTACAGCCCAAAAGCAGAGAAAATATCTTAAACTGGTCAAGTCAAATATGTAATTTCTTATTGATTAATAAAACTAAAGCACACTATTGTCACGACGTGCCGGTGAGTGGAACAGAGGTGGGGATCCACACGCTGGGGAGGAATCAGGCAGGTAGACAAACTGGGTAACGTAAAAGGTTTTAATAACAAACGCACGCAGGACATGAGAACAATGAGCCAACAAGAGACACAGAACTGGAGGGGTTTAAATACAAGAGGGCTGGGAGCTTGGGTGATTGGAAAACGAGAGGCAGGTGGGAGCAATTGACAGAGACGCAGGCTGAACCAAATGGGGAGACAGGACAGGGTGTGACAGTATCCCCCCCCCCCCCCCCCCCCCTCTCTCTCTCAAAGGGCGGATTCCAGACGCCCATAGGAACACAGAGCAGGGTGGGAGGAGGGGGATCCGGAGGGAGGGCCAAGAGGGACCGAGGGGTCGATGGAGAGGAGGCAGGGACCAGTAGAGTCCGGGGGCCTGCGTCTGGGGCAGAGGAGGCGATGACGGGCTCTTGGGGGCCTGCGTCTGTGGCAGAGGAGGAGGCGACGACAGGCTCCTGGGGGCCTGCATCTGTGGCAGAGGAGGAGGCGCCGACGGGTTCTTGGGGGCCCGCGCCTGGCGAGGGCAGAACCGGCGGTGACCGGAGGCAGAGACGCCGGAGGAGACGAACCTTGACTCCCGGACTGGAGGTGGTGGCGACGACCTCTGGACTGGAGGCGGCGGCGTCGACCACTGGACTGGGGACGGCGTCGACCACTGGACTGGGGACGGCGTCGACCACTGGACCAGGGACGCCGCCGTCGACCACTGGACCGGAGGAGGAGACGTCGACCACTGGGCCGGAGGAGGAGACGTCGACCACTGAACTGGAGGGGGAGACGTCGGCCTCTGGACTGAAGGGGGAGACGTCGGACTGGAGGGGACGTCAACCTCGGGACCGGAAGGGGCATCGACCTCGGGACCGGAAGGGGCATCGACCTCGGGACCGGAAGGGGCATCGACCTCGGGACCGGAAGGGGCATCGACCTCGGGACCGGAAGGGGCATCGACCTCGGGACCGGAAGGGGCATCGACCTCGGGACCGGAAGGGGCGTCGACCTCGGGACTGGAAGGGGCGTCGACCTCTGGACGGGAAGGAGCGTCAACCTCTGGACGGGAAGGAGCGTCAACCTCTGTCGGCTTCTGGTCTGGAGGCGCCGGCTTCTGGACCGCTGACTTCTGGACCTGGACTGTCGGCTTCTGGTCCGGAGGCGCCGGCTTCTGGACCGCCGACTTTTGGACCTGGACCGTCGACTTTTGGACCTGGACCGTCGACTTCTGGACCTGGAACGTCGACTTCTGGACCGGAACCTTCGACTTCTGGACCGGAACCTTCGACTTCTGGACCGGAACCTTCGACTTCTGGACCGGAACCTTCGACTTCTGGAGTGGAGGCGGAGCCGCTGCAGTCGGGACCGCTTCCTTGGCTGGTGCCGCCGGACTGGGCGCTGACCACTGGACAGGCTGGCCTGGGGGCGGAGGCTCTTGGGCAGGCTGGCCTGGGGGCGGAGCGTCCTGGACCACCGCTGGAACTGGCGCTGACTGGACTGATGGTGCGGGACCTGGCGCTGACTGGACTGGTGGCGCGGGACCTGGCGCTGACTGGACTGGTGGCACAGGACCTGGTGGAACCAGTAACTGGAAAAGCAGGGAGGATAGATTGTCCAGCTGGAACTCCTGGAGACTGAGGATCTGACGGAGTTGGACCAGCTCAGCTTGGAGACCGGCGAACTCTGTTGGATGGGCTGCGAGCTCGGTCCTTTGGCCTGGAGACGAGAGAGCTGCTGACTGGACTGGAGACGGGGCCGCTGGCTGGACAGAAACCTTCTCCTGGAGATACGGGGAGGATAGGGTGTCCAGCTGGAACTCCCGGAGGCTGACGAGCTGACGGATCCGGCCAAGCTCCGCCTGGAGACCGGCGAGCTCTGTCAGCTGGGCTGTAGGCATGGTTCCGCTGCCTACAGATGACGGAGACGCTGATTGGACCGGAGACAGGACTGCTGGTCTGACTGGGGGCGGGTCCAAGCTGGCGCGCCGAGCCGGGGCAGCTGCGAGCTCGCAGCTCCGTCCTGGGACAAGGGGTGACGGTGGAGCCCGGCATCCTTCCCAACGCCGTGGGCCAACTCCGGGGGAGCACACAGCCAGTCTGGTGCCCACATAGCAGGAGCGGTCCATCTGCGCCTCCCCGTCCAACTCTCCATCCAGCTCTGGGAGGGTGGTGAGGATCGCTGAGGCCCAGGCTTGGTGGTGGCGTCCGCGGCGAGGCAATGCCGGAGGAAGAGGAGCCGGCCGGTGGTCCACGGCGAGAAACTGGAGCAGGTTCTTCCAAGGGATAACCTCCCCGCTGGATCCTTCTGTGGGTTGGCTCATTCTGTCACAACGTGCCGGTGAGTGGAACGGAGGTGAGGATCCACACGCGGGGGAGGAATCAGGCAGGTAGACAAACTGGGTAACGTAAAAGGTTTTAATAACAAACGCACGCAGGACATGGGAACAATGAGCCAACAAGAAACACAGAACTGGAGGGGTTTAAATACAAGAGGGCTGGGAGCTTGGGTGATTGGAAAATGAGAGGCAGGTGGGAGCAATTAACAGAGACGCAGGCTGAACTAAATGGGGAGACAGGACAGGGTGTGACAACTATTAAAACACATGAAATGTTAAGACCCCCAGCAAATGGATGTATTGGTGGGAAGTGTGCATAATGAGACTGAATCACACTGGCAGTCTATTAGAACAGAAAATGTAAGAATACGTCTATAACTCGGTCCTGACAGAAACAGGGAAGAGTGTCTTTAATTTCAAGTTTCTACTCAATATCATAATTGCTCCAACAAACGCTGCAGAATTGATCTTATTCCATTGTGTTGTGTGTAAAAATCTAAGATTTTGTTATTGTAATTATTTTATTATAGAAAATAAATGTAATTTTCAAATGAAATGACTGAAATAAAAAAGTAGCTTGCTTTTGTCAAATGTAGTTTTGAATATTTCCATTCTTCTCACATATTAAGTCTACATAATGAAGTTTTATAATGGGCCTTCCTAAAGACACTTTTATACTAAAGCCATCTTTCCAAAAAAAACCAACAACAGTTTTTGTATTTTTTCTGCTTTTTGTCCCAAATAAATCAAGATGGCAGCATTTCTTCTTGTTCTTCTAGGTATTTATTTTCCTCACCACCTTCATCTGTCACTCTGCAGGCCCAGAATAGGACACTGAGTTAAAAACAATCAGCCATTTTTCTTGTTTAGACAAATTTTCACATTCAGGAATTAACAGGAAGTAATGTGACTGTTAATAGTTGTGAAAAAGTTGTTGTGAAAGAATTCTCATATGTTATTGCTGAACCATGTGTTTTTGCATTGATGTTTGATCTCTAACCTCATAATCAGGACAATGGTCATCCTCCACGTCATACGACACCGTCTGAATCTTCACATCTTTCCCTCCTTGATCGTTCTCTCCTGTGTTTTCTATAAAAGCGCCGTCTGAAAGGGCCTCCTTGCCCTCTGTGAAAGTGGTCTCAAAGCTCTCGTTCTTTGAATCCTTACTGTGAAGGCTGACATTGTCCTTGAACAGGATGAAGTTGGGCCTGTAGAAAGTTTCCACTGCTAGATGAAGGGATGTTGCATCCAGGAATTGTGGAGTCTTGTGTTTCCCGCTGGTCTCGGTGTAGTAGTAACCGATGAGTTTTTCCTGGTATGATTGGTAGTCACACTGGAAGCCCTGGTAGTCCTTATGAACCGTGTGTCTGCTGGTTTTTTCTAACAGTGGGTTTTGCAGCTCGCTCAGGCTCTCCATGATTTGAACAACGGTTCAAACGCTGAGCCGATCAAAGAGTGGAGTCCCAAAAATTTCCTGGCAGTTTGACAGCTGGAAAAAGAAAACATGTCATATGAAGTTGGAACCAAATTTGATTATAAAAGGTATCAAAAATGACAGGCTGCTATTTTACACCATGGCTGATTTTTTTTGTACTATAATTTAGATGATTGTGGTAATAATTATAAAGGGTTAGAGACCTGGATTCAGGGCACGGACTGTTTCATTTTGTTTGGCAATCGTCATTCCTCTCACAAGCTCTCAGCAGCATGAGCCATGAAATCACCATCTGCTCTATGTTCAACTGTTGCATCACTCACCCCCCAGTTTCACATAAACATGTTTGGAAAATATCACTCAGAAGGCTGAAAATGGAGAAAAAGTGGCTGGTGCAACTAAAAATATTATTACTGATCTGATTTGTTGGTCTGCTGTTGACCTTGACTTCCTCTTGTTTCAAATCCACATCTAATGGGACAAATCAAATGGTTTTTTTTGTTTGTTGGTAAAATCAGAAATACATTTATGGCAAACAACATTAAGGATGCCAGGGGAGGCGGTCACTGCAGCAACAAATCTGCAGATGAGTGGCTGTGAAATCCGGGCATGTCCAGATTTGACATTTTGTGTTGCAAATCCACCAGCATGGATTTGCAACATCCAAACAAGCACCAGCAGCCAGTTCATCCTGCAGCTTGCCAAGACCTAATCTAGCAAATTCATCTCTCAACCCTTGACTAATAATGAAATTAGATAACAGCCACTCAGGAAGCAGCATTAAATTAATAGCTGGACCAGTCCTGAACTTAGAAACAAATGGAACTGAATTGTAGGAAAAAGGAGCGGCAATGAGACAAATACAGACTTACAGGGAGAAGCTAAAGCAGACATGCAACCTTTGACCCCCCCCCCCCCCCCCCCCCCCACACACACACACACACACACAGGAAAACATCATGCAGCTTCACTAGATTTCACAGTTACTTGCTGTGGAGAAGCATGACTAATGTGGGTTTGAGGATGGTTCTAAACACACACACACACACACACACACACACTCTCTCTCTCTCTCTCTCTCTCTCTCCCTCCCTTCCCCCCCCCCCCCCCCTCTCTGTCTCTCTCTGTCTGTCTCTCGCTCTCGCTCTCGCTCTCTCTCTCTCTCTCTCTCTCTCTCTCTCTCTCTCTCTCTCTCTCTCTCTCTCTCTCTCTCGCTCTCTCGCTCTCGCTCTCCCTCTCTCTGAATATCTTCACTGTGTCCATTCTCACATTCTTCAGCCACAGTCCAGATAACAAGGAATTCCATTACACACTACATTAGACAAGGAAAATCACATTACAGATCCACAAATGATTCATCCAGCATGAGAGGAAGCGCACTTAGCGCACGTGAAGGACCGCTTAGACTCCACAATTAATAATGACCACGAGCACTCAAGCTGTCTACGTCTCTTTCAAACAAACAAGATGTTTCTTGTTTTTGTTATAAAAGTGCAAAACTCTTTGCTAATATTGTTGCTCTCTATATTGAAGATGCGGGCTTTTTTCTTATTTTTAATGTAAGGCTAAATTTGGTAAACATCTCTGAAAAGCTTACCTGCGGTGAAAAATCCTCCCTCTATGTTTCTCAGCATAGCTCCGCGGCGCAGCGGAATCTGTGGGGACGGACGGAAGGAGGCACCATCCTGATTGAGATGGCGGTCAGTTAAAGATCAACATCGTACCAGAACACTCGACATCCGTGTTGGGGGGGTAAATTATTCCGCTGGTGCGAGAAGGAGCTGAGCCTCTGAAGCCATGGCACCGCTGACGCGTCGGGCAGGTGGTTTTACGCACAACATATCCCAAACAACTCCCGAGTGAGGCTGAGCTGGCTCCAGCCAGCTGATTGGTTGTGGGTGGCGCGCTTGAAACTCAACTGCCGACCTCGGATTTCTCGTCTCTAAACTGAACTTGCTTGCTTGAACGTCTTCCTTCCTCTGCTCAGTCTGGTGCTGATTTAAGCGCCCCCGCGCCCAAAGGGTTCATTACATAAGATGCGCGGAAGTCCTGTATGGAAAGAGAATCTAAAGAGAGACACTTTTTAGATCCACTTTGAAGACCTAAATGTTTCATCTGATAATCCCGTCACCGGCTTTCAGAGTGCTGAGGAACGCATGTAAAGAGCTGCTGCTGCCACAAACACCTCTTTACATACATTTTGTAAGCTTTCCCACTATAAAGGTGTATTTCAATTTAATCAAGAGTCACACTGTTACAGGTGTTGTTTTTTTTTTCTTTTTGATTCAAAAAACGTATTTGGAATACAATCTAAATAAAAGTTAAAAGTCTAATCATCAAAATTGTGGCACCTGAGCTAAATAGTTAGCCAACTGGCCTACCAAAAATAAAAGCAGGAAGGTTCCAGAGACCTTTTTTATGGTTTTGACATTGCTGGTGGTTGAGGATTTGTTGTTAGGTCCTCTCTGCAAAAGAATAAATCTCCATGTCTGACTTGAAGACACCACTCTTAACTCCACTTTTATTTTGGTTGGCATTTTTTTATCTGCAAAATTCAGTTTAAAATCATGAAATCTTTATTTAAATGTCAATGTTTAAATGCATCTCCTTATATTCAGATTTGATTCTAAATATGTAGGTAAAATTTAATAAATGTAGTTTTTGATTTTAAACATGCAGATCAGTGTGGACTGCTCCCCTCCCTGAGGACCGGTATCCAGTATGTTTTAGTTGTTTCCCTGCTCCACCACCTGTTCAGCAGATCATGGAGCCCTGCAGAAGCCTGGTCGCCTGCTGATTAAAATCAGGTGTGTTGAAGCAGGGAAACAACTAAAACCAGCTCAATGCCAGCCCTCAGAAAAAGGAGGTGTCTACCCCTTATGTATATGTATCTTAATACGTTTGTTATGAATATCTGTTTAATGTTTGACTTTAATTCAATCTTCCTTGTAAATGTAACTGTCAGTTTTTTAAACTTCAGCGCCCCATAGTTCATCCTCTCTGAGGGCACCCATTCTGCAGGAAACACAGAAACCTTGCTGTTTGTGTCAAACCCATTTATTGACGATGGCTTCAAGGACTCTTTCTTCACTTTACATTTCAATTTGCCTGACTCAATCCAAATAGTTGGGAATTAATTTATTGCACATTTATAATAGATCCGACTTCGTGCATTAATCATGAGCTTGCAAATGTGGTTATATGCAATAATCCTGCAGTTCACTGAGGTAAAACAAGTTTAACAAAACATAAATTTAGATATGTGACAACATCATGCTTAAAATCTGAGTGCAAATTGTTTTGATCTTTTAGAATCACAAAACAAGTAGCAAGAGCCTTACAGGAACACGGTCCGTGCTTTAGACTCACTAAAGACTGTATATGCCAAAAACTAGAAACAGCCACTGGACGTATATCTTATTCAGAAGGAGCCCTCTGTTCCACAGGCTCATAAAAATGTCTGGAGTTAATAATGTGCAAGCCCAGACTCTGTCACTTTCACTGGGATATGCATTAAGGTGCTGATGGACACTTTATGGGAGAAACTTGGGGCTGCATTCGTAAGACTGGGCACACGTCGCTCCCTCAGTCACCTTGTGTTCACATGCAGGAGGCGATGTGGCAAAACATCCCTGCAGCCGTCTCTGTGATGGATACCACTCCCTCGGGAGATGAGTATATTAGAAAAGAAAGAGTGGAATGGGGAGAAGGGCAAACCTGTTTCTCTGTTTCTTGAAAAATAGAAAAAAAAATAGATGAATGCTAAATTAGTGAGGCATCCCAAAGCTTGTGCCACATTTTAAGCAAAGTTTATAAGAGCACTGAAACTCTCCCATGACTGTATTTTTGCCACACTTATTTAAAAGAACTGTGAATATTTTCTCTCTCTCTCTCTCTCTCTCTCTCTCTCTCTCTCTCTCTCTCTCTCTCTCTCTCTCTCTCTCTCTCTCTCTCTCTCTCTCTCTCTCTCTCTCTGCCCCTTTCTTCTGCTCCATTTTCTCCTCTATATTTAGGCGCTGTGTCGCCACACAGCAGATGCACTATTTATCAGCCAGGTTCTCCTTAAAGGTTTGTCATTTTGTGAAACACAAAGACTGTTGGGTCAGAGTATGCAGACATAATCAACTAAAAGCAAAACCAAATTGGAGAGTGTTTCTGCAGTTATCATTTCTATTGATTTTTCTCTGACTCTGTCTGATATCGCAGCCAATTCTGATACCAGGAACTTTCCTGCAGGCCCATTAACCAGCTTTAATCATTTGAACACTTTTGGGAATTAATCGGCCTAATCGGATTGGCAGAGAAAGTATCAAACCACTTAATTTGATCTGACCCAGACGGCTTTTACACAGAAAGGAGGGAGGGAGTTAAGCAGCTTTTCCCACGTGTCTCTTGCATTATTTCCTCTTCCACTAAACACTTCTGAAAAGTGTGTGCCAACAAACACATCTAACCACCAAAAAGCCCCTGAGACAAGCATGAGGGAAATTGGTGCAACAAATTGGTTTGAATTAATGTGTTTTCTGCATTTAGACACATTTATGTGCAGAAATCATTAGCATCAAATCTGTGTTGGATATTCAGCTCTCTCTGTATTCTTACATTAAAGCTATTAACATTATGTCCCACTCTTTTTTATGGAATAGTTTTAAAGAGACAATGTGTAGTTTTTACCATTAATTGTTAGAAAAATCCATCAAAATATTGTTGAAAATGAATAAAATGATGCCCAGTTGTTGAAAAGTATTGGCGGCTTTGTAACATATAATCTTAAAATCAGGTCTAAAATACATGGGAGTGGGTCTAAGTCTCTGGGCGACGCCATACTAAAAGCCAAGTTTCCTTCTACGGGAGCCCATGAGGACTAAATGCATTTACTGATTTGTAACAAACGGTTACAAACTTTCATCGTTCTTAAATGTTGTTGTTTTACACATTTAGCTCTTCACTTGTTGCTAGTGATGAAAGGGATTCTGATGTACTTGTTGTTTTGCTAAAGTTTGCACTCTCCAGGGCTTTTTGACCCTAATGGGCATGCTTTGGTAAAGTCTTACTCGAACACAAAAATACTGCTTGCTTGCAACAATTTAGGTATCTACTGCCCCCAACGCCAGGAAAAATACACACTGTCACTTTAATTCAGCCATGATGGAGGGTTTTCCAGCATGGCTTGTGTTAGAGAACAGCAAAGCAGCCCCTGACCATTGTACTACCACCACCACGTTTTACTGCTGGTACATGTTATTTCTGAAGTGCTAGTTAAACTCTAGATGTAATGATGTACACACCTTTTAAAACTTTTCCCTTTTGGCTCATCAGTCCATATTTACCACAAGTCCTGTGGATCATCAACATGTTTTAAGGGAATGGCAGAAGTGTCTTGTGGGATTTTGGTCTTGGAACTTTTCCATAGAGGCCATTCATTGTTGACTCATGACCTCTGACTTAAACCCAGTAATCCCTGAAGTAAGAAAGATTGTTAACTTTAAATTTTTTTTCAAACTTATTTATTGTCTAAAATCAATAAAACAACTACATAATGTTTGGTTATATAATGTCATGTAAATAATAATAATAGAGTTGTTACTTTTTCACAGAACCAGGTTGTCTCGGATCACTTTTCCCCTTCAATAAGATTTCATCTTCAATAAAAAAAAACTGCATGTTGTATTTACTCAGGTTTTATCTGTTGGATAATAAAAGTTGTTCGCTGAGCTGAAACATTTAACGAAGATTGTCGCACTGTAAATAGAAGTGAGACGATTTCCTGAAAATAACCATAATAAAAATTTATCATTTCTTTTATAGATCTTGTGATCGCTGCTTTTTTATTTTCCTGTTTCATTTCAGAATCCTCTGGAGTTTAATGAACCGGTTTCTCTCACTACCAGTAAACGTGTTTTCATTGCTGCCAGCAGCCACAAGAGCCAGCAGTATGACCGATCCGATCCCATTCTCAAACATTTTAAACTGGGGCAGCAGCAGCTCAACAGGTTGAGCGGGTTGTCCAGAAGGTTGCAGGTTCGATCCCGGCTCCAGACAGAGAATTCTGCTTTTGTGTTCTTGGGCAAGACGCTTAACCCAAACCTACTGGGGGTGGAAGGAGGGATTGGTTGCACATGTGCTCAGCAGCATCGCCTCTGTCATTGCGCCCCAGGGCAGCTGTGGCTACATCGTAGCTCATCCCCACCAGTGTGTGAATGTGTGTGTTTATGTAATGTAAAGCATAAAGCGCTTTGGAGTACTCTGAGAGGCGCTATACAAGTGTGGGTCATTTATCATTTATCCTTTTTGTTTAGATGCTCCTCTGCAGACCTTTAGCACGGCAAGTTGGGGTAAAGATAAAGAATTCTTCAAATTAATTGTCCACGAAGGCCATGATTGCTCCGTTGTATCCAGTTTCTCTCCAGAGGCTGCTAAATCTTTGCAGGGGTTTTCTGCCATCACACAAATATTTTGATTTGCTTTTCTACTAATAGTGACTTCAAAACTTTTTGCAGTCCTTATTGATCCCTTTCATGCTATGCGAGCATCAATTTCATTAATTTTCTTAGCGCTGTGCAGCTTACTGGCTCATGCCCAAGGCTTCAAATCCCTTTAAAGGCACAAATGAGTGCATCTTCTCACTTGAAAGTTACACAAAACTAAAACAAGCACTAATCTTCTCGGCAAAGTTAGAATATATTTGTATTAATCCTGAGTCAACAAGCTGCAGACATCAGGTGGTGTGTGAGAAGGTCATCAATTTGGCCAAACAGGTCCGTTTGCAGGAAACAGTGGGACTTCCATGCCTGCAGCGTGAGGCTCAGGTGCTGAAGCTCAAAGAGGAGAAGACTTTGTCAGGAATGGAGGCATGGTGCAAAACCTACTGACAGAAAGGAAAAACAAATACAAGCTCACCTCATGCAGGAGGTAAATGAAAGCAATGTTTTCAGGTATGTGCAGGAGAAAATGATGAACAGGTCAAGATTTAGAAGATCCATCTCACATTTA